AAAAAAAAAAAAAGGCACTACACAAAGATCTTTTTTCAAGGCCTAACTTCCCCACTACCAGTAGTTGGCTTTTATTATTTTATTAATAGTAATACTTATAATTTTATTTTAAAAATACTCCTTTGTACAAAATCAAACTCAGTCTGGCATTCACTTTACCTCATACATGATTTTCAAAATCATTCTCAAATTCCTGCCCGAAAACTTAAATTAAAGAGGAGAGAATTCTTCTTTGATGTCTCTAGTGAAGAGAATGAGAAAAGCTATTCAATTTTGCTTTCCCTAACACTAGACTTTGGAGTGCTTCATTAATAGATCTTATGGAGAATCCAGTCAAGATGAAAAGACAATCTGAGAGCAAGTGTTTGCTTTTTAGAGGACAAAATGATGAAATTCCTTTGTTAATCCACTTATTATTTATTGAGAACTTTATATCACAGAAAATAAGACATTTTGAGGATTGGTACCAGTCTTTTCAAAAAAAACCTCGGTCTTTTTATTTTTTAATTTTTTTTTATGAGTCATTCTTTAAGGGAGACGAATCTCAGATCTGTCATAAAAGATCATTTTCCCTGTAAGAATGGGTGGCAACCTGACTAGCAAACATGCAACCTGGCATGAGGCCTACCTTCCACATTGTAGATAATGTCTCACTAATTTCTCCTTGAGTACAAGAAGAGAGAGAGAGGGAGGACAAGCGAGAAAGGAGGGAAGGAAGAAGAGAAGGAGGGAGGGGAGGGAAGGACAGAAGAAGGGAGAGAAGGAAGAAAGAAATCACCTCTTTCAATCATATTAGCAAAGCTCTTTGTGATGTGTTTTAACTCGTACCTGGAAGGTGTGGATTAAACTAGAAGATGTTAAGTGTACCCAACAGCTTCCAGTTCATGCCATCCTGATTCGCCCTTCATTCTCTCTGAATGGATGGATTCTTACCAGTGGAACATTGTACAGCTCTGTACTTTCCTTTGTAATAATCTCTTGTGGTCATGAGAGTAACCACTGCTGGCTTGTTTGCACTCAGGCTTAGGGGCTAGGTGGAGGAAATTGGACACAATAATTAATTTAGATTCAATGTCCAAGGGTACGTCAAGAAACCTGAACTTGAATCTCAGGTTGCAAAAACACAATTCAAAGAGAAAAAGATATTCCTTCTCCCCTGGCATATTGCTGATAGAATTAGAAAGCTAAATGGAAGAGTACCCTCCACTGCTATATTATATTTACTATAAAAATCATCTACTCTAAGAAGCAGCAGACTACAAGTAAAATGATACCACCAATGTACTTCCTTGATTTAAAATATTACCAGCACGAATCCAATCTGAACACGTCTTTGAGAAACAAGAAAATGGATCCCACTTTTACTGATTGCTCCTATATTAAAAACATACTGTATGGTGGGACTGCTGATTTTTTTTATTTCCAAGAGCAATTTTGTAATGGAAAAACACCATGACCTTAACCTTATGAAGAGTTGGAAAACACAGACACACTTTATATTGAGCATAAACAAAACTTCTTAACTATCAGGCATATTTCCTGGCCAGTAAGAATTTGATGTGCTTAAAGCTTTGTGAAGTATTACAGCAGCAATGACTAAATGGAAAGTCTTTTTGGACAAGTTGGTACATGACCTCAGTCTTGTTCGGAGTTGTCCTCAGCTCCTGTAGGACACTGGCTTCTTGCAGTGATCTACGATCCAGTTATGCTTCCCAGGGTGCAGTCACCAGTGTCTGTATGATTGTTTCATGGACTTTGGGTGGTGTTTATTTAAACAGTTGCATTGGAAAATGTTCCCATTTGACTACAAGCACCAGAAACATCATCTGTCCTCTCTTTTTTAAATTATCAAGGCAATGTATGTTCTTTTTTAATTTGGCAACACAGAGAAACAAATTTTTAAAGACTCTTTTATCACCTCATCTCTTCTCACATTCACCGTTAATATCCTAATTATAATCTCACCACCTATTTGTATGCATTGCTTCTTATGTGACGAAGTTAGGTAATTACAAGGGTATACAATTCTGTATCTTAAAAAAAAACATTGTATCATCACACTTGTGCATTTTTAGTTATTTTACTGACTACATAGTGTTATGTAAAGTACTGGCACCATAGCTTACTTAGCCATTAGCTTTTTAGTTTGCCTTTCCACTCCAACACATTTTTTTCTGCTATTATAAACAACTTTGTAAAGATCATCTTTGTGTAGAAAGTAGAGCAAATTTTAAAATATAATGAGTCAAAAAGTATTAATATTTATAGCTCTTGAGTCAGCATGACAAATTCCTTTTCAAGGGTTCTGCGATTTTATACAGGCACTGGTTAAGTGCAGAGTGTCCAGTTAGTTTACCACACCCTTATTAATGACTTCTCTGATCTAATAGATGGTTATGATACTTCCCAGTTGTGATTTTCATTTCTTTGACTACTAACAAAGTTATTTTTCCCATAATTTGGTTTACCATTTGTATTTCTTCTCTTACAGACTGTTTTATTGTGTGTGTGTGGACGCGTGTGTGTGCTCTTTCCCACATATCTATCCGTGTCTTAGTGTTTTTCTAATGGATTTGTGAGAGCTCTTACTATTGAATACTTTGGTCTCCTATTTGCTGTAAATATTTGTTTTACTTGTAAACTCGTACGCACAGAATTTTAAATTTCACTGTAATCAAATCTGTGTATTTTTCCCTTATTGACTTCTGTTGCTTCTAAACTTAGGAAACTCTTCTACATGCATAAAATGGACAAATTCAATTTCATTTTCTTCTAGATTTTCTGTTTAACCCTTTAAGTTATCTGGAATTAGTGTTTATAATGATATATCAGTCTAAACTGTTTTCTCGACAGCTAACCAATAATCTCATTTACTTGCTGAATATAGATATAATTCTTACATTTGAGGGTCAGTCTGTTCTGTTTTACTGAGCTATCTGTTTAAGACTTAACAGCTGAAATGACTGTAGCTTTATGATATGCAGGCACAACCCATATGTCTCCACAGATAACATTTTTTTTCATTAGAGTGCCTCTTGGATTATACTACACAAACTTCTTTGACCACACTTACTTTTCAGTACAATCATTTTTCACCACTGCATACACAGGAAAATGTATATTTCTCCCTAAAACTCAGTACAACATGTTTAACAAGACTGTAGATAGAATAAGCCTTGAGCTAATAAAGAAAAATAAAAACAAATAATAAGTCTTGAGTCATATAATGTATATCATAATCATATTAGTATTGTAATGTGTAGATCATTTTGAAAAGCACACCAAGTGAAGGCAAAGGGGATTATATCAAATGTTACAAAGCAAAAGTTTGTTAATAGCCATATTAATTGTCTAGTGATCGGAAAGTGATGTTTTAAAAAAATTATAACTAACGTGATGTTTCTGATATATAGGCATTTTACTATATTTTGTTTCCGTGTTAGGGAAATTAGTTGAGTGTTTTGGGTTGATGTACCAACCATATAGTTTTTACCATTTAAAATAATGGGAAGTAGGTTCCCAGTCAGCACTTTTTGGACCGTAAGTCTGATTATCAAGAACAAATTATTGACTTAAGTGGGAGCTACCTGTTCTCTATTATCTGTGGGACCAGAAGTGCCCTACCATCAATATTCTTTTCTATAATATTTCTTTTCTTTTTTAACTTTTAAAAAAATGAACCATTGAGAGTAAGTTTTTTACACAATGCCCCAAAACATCCAAATACTTTATGACATAATCCCTATACACAAAGACATTTCCTACATAATCACAATACAACTATCAAAACTGGTAAATTAACACCAATGCACTACTACTGTCTAATCCATAGACTCCACCTAAATTTTGTTCATTGTCCCCAAAATGCTCTTTATAGTAAAAGGATACAGTTCAGAATCATATGCTGCATTTTGTTGTCATGTCTCTTTAGTCTCCTTCAAATTGCGATAGATTTTCTGTTTCCTTATCTTTCAAAACTTGGCACTTTTGAAGAATGTCCCTCAATTTGGGGTTGCCTAACATTTCTTATCATTGGATTCAGCTTATGAATTTTAGACAGGAATATCACAGTGTTGCTGTATTCTCATTGTATCTTGCCACAGAGAAATACTAAAAGTTAGTTTATTGTTTTCATCCTAAATTTATAAAGAAACAAAAGTAAACGAGTTACCTAAAACTGGACAAAACATCCAAATTTCTTACCTTTGTTATTGGTTGGCTTTAAATCAAACAGAAGGCTGTTGTACCAGTTAGCTATTGCTGTTTACAAAACACTTCAAAACTTACAACTTAAAACAACAACCATTTTTTAGTTCATGATTCTTTGAGTTGGCAATTTAGACTGGGTCCAACTGGGTGGGTTCTTCTCATCTGGGCTGGGCTCAGATGATCTCAGCTGGTCTTGCTCATAAGTCTGTGGTCAGCTGGGGGGTCAACCAGGGAGGTCAGCTGGGGTGACTCATTTCTTCAGGCTCCAAAGTTTCCAAGAAAAAGAGCAGAAGCACACAAGCCTCTTGAGGTCCAGGCTCAAAACTGAGACATTACCACTTCTGTCAAATCTATTGGCCAGAAATCATAAGGTCAGACAGACTCAAATTTTGAATAACTAACAGTTTCTATGAATGAAAAGAGCAAGTGCTTTTGATTAAATAGTGAATTCAAAGTAGGAGTTGTACTGGTTACCTATGGCTGTGTTATAACTACCCCAAACTTGTGGCTTAAAACAACCAGTTTATTTTGCTCATGATGTTCATACATCATGACTTCTGGAAGATTTCGTTTCTTGTCCATGAGGCCTCAGCTGTGGTGGCATGGAGTGAATGATCTACTTCTAAGATGACTCGTCCACTCGTATGTAGCACATCAGTTCTCTTTGGCCTCTCTCTCCCCACACATAATGTTTCATTTTCCAGGGCCTCCCCATGTGGTTGGGCTTCTCACAGCATGGTGGTATCAGGATAGTCATACTTCTCAAGTGGAGGCCGGCTTCCAAGAAACAGGAAGTGAAAGTTGCCAGTCTCCTAAAACTTGGATTCAGAAACTGCTGTGACTTCACTTTGGCCATATTCAGTTGATCGAAAGAGTTGCAGAATCCCATCAGATTCAAGGAGAAGGACACAAAGTCCCCATTTATCAATGGGAAGAATTTCAAAGAATTAGTGGCCATCTTCAATCTGCAACAGTCTGCCCCGTGGTCACAACTATTTATATTCTTTCTACATGCAAAATATGCTAACCTCCTCTGACAGTCCCCCAAATTATCACTCCATTATATCAGGCTTATGCTTAAGGTTGCAGATCTCAGGGCCAGGTGCAGATAAGCCTCCTTGGGTTTGGTTCCTCAGGTATGTGTCCTCTCAATCTGAAGTTCTCTTGTGAAAAAATTAGTTATCTTCATGTGTGTGTGCACACGCACACACACACATACACACACATACACACACTCACTACTAAGGCAGGCATTTGGCAGCAAGTCCTTTCAAAAAGGGGGAAAACAGGGAGCACAGAGCAGTCAGTGTTCCATAGTGATATAACATCCAGCCAGACACATGCTGCCCTGGTCCTGCACCCTTGGTATGATTCTCCAGGCCCGTGGTTCTAACCTTTGGGCCCTTGGTTCTGACCCAGTCATTCTTCATTTTCCATAAGAAATAGCCTGTGTTTCCCGCTGAGAATTTTCTCAGCCTAAATCCTTCCTGTATTAGTTTAGGGGTCCACAGCCTTCTTTTAAACTTGATATTGACTCCGACCCTTTCAGTCCAAGGTGGTATAATTCCTTTAAAAAACATCATGGGATTCCTGTGTATCAAAGTATAACTTATTCTGTTAGATAAGAGTCATGCCTACAAATCTTTTTGAGCTAGGTTCCTCTCTGCCATTTGCCCTCTGCAAATCTGCTTAAGAATAAGACAACATCTTTAAGATTATTAGAATCTCTGTTGTTTAATGGAGAAGGACTATAAGGCACACTCCTAAAATCTTTTGTCTAGCTGATAGGATCCATGGGGCATCAACTTAAATGCTTATGAGATTTTATCAAAGGGATTGGTGCTTGCAGCTTTGACTTCATGTTTACCCTGAATCTTTGTTTTACTGTCCTGGTTTATGAGCTTTACCTATAGACTATTTCTTATTTTAAAAATGTTTTCTTAGCTAGAAAACTGATGAGAAAAAGTTTTATTTTTGAAGTCAGCAAGTCCTGGGTCCTGTATATTTCCTCTAAATTTTGCTAATTTTGAATAACTTCTTTAGCTCATTTCTCCTTACCTATTCTTTATCATATGCAGATATAAGAACTAGTTGGTACTTTTAACATTCTGTCTGAGAGTCTACTTACTGAGATCCACTAGTTTCTTGGGTCCATTTTATATTTTTCAAAATATGTCAGGTGACAGGTGCTAAACCTTCTAGAACTACACCATGTGAGTTGCTCTCCTGCCAAGCCTGAGTAATAACCTCCTGTCCTTCCAGCCTCCATTAACATTCCCTTTGAAGCCTTTTCAGTCAGTCTCTGCCCACTTTCCAATCTCAAAATCAATGCCACATATTTTAGGTTTCTGTAATGGCAGCACCTGTATATGTTCCTGCTATTATTGCTGCATAGCGAACTACCACAAAATAAAGTATCCCAAACAACTATTTCATTTGCTGAAAATTTGGAGGTTAGAAAATTCAGGATGATCTCAGCTGGGCAACTTGTGTCTGATCCATTTATTGTCAGCTGGGGTCACAGGGGCTGGGTGTCCACCTGAAGGTGCCTCATATGTATCACTCATACGTCCAGCCTCCCAGTGCTCCTTGGTCTCTCTCTTGCTCCATATGGTGTCTCATCCTCTACTTCCTATTCACATAGCTTCAGCTTCTCACAACATGGTGCCCTCAGGGCAGTTATGCTTCTTCACAAAGGCTGGCCTCCGATAGTGAGTGTTCCACATGACCAAAAGTAGAAGCTGTCAGTCTCTTAAGGCCTGGGCCCAAAACTGACAAGGTATCATTTCCACCATATTCTATCCATTCGAGCAGGCCCGGAGCCCACCTAGGTCCAAGTGGAGGAAACAGACTAACCCTGCTAACCCGGCTTCCAGGAAAGGATTACCTTCTTCTCTGTGGTCACTGGCTCTGCCCTCCAGAAATATTTATTCGAGGAACATTGATTGAGCATCTACCAAAGTCCCAGGAACGAGCTACACATAAATAAATAATTTTAATGCGAAGTGATCAGTTTAACAATAGAGATGCAAGGTCTTGGGGTGAGTTGAATAAGAACACTTAATCATCCTGGCAGTCAGCACCCACTTCTTAGAGATAGCACTTGAATGAAGTTTTAAACAATTATTAGGTGTCGGCCAGGCAAAAAGGAAGGAGGAGATTCCAGGAAAGCTGAATAACAAGAGAAGCATCATGGTATGAGCAAGAAACTCAGAATACTTTGGTGTTTCTGAAGCATAAAACATAATGAAGTGAGGGGTAAGAAATGAGTCTGCAAAAGAAAACACGAGTCACACTCCCACTCCCACTTAGAGGGAGTGGGACGTCATTGAGGTATTTCTGTGGGGAGTAGCATAGTCTGATTTACATTTATGAAGATAAGTCTGGTTGATGTGTGAAGGACAGATATGGCAGGTCCCAGTGATGACCTACACCAGGTGTGCTTTGTCTTACTGTAACTCACATGGCAGCATGGCCCCAGTGAGAGCAGTATCTGCAAAGGGTTATGTTCTGGGAATCGGCCCAGTAACCAGTGTACCTAAATTCCCAACTGCATTCCTTAAATAATTCCAGAAAGAATTGAATTGCTTATCCCTAACTTCTCATTCCCTTTGTTCTCAATATTTCTCCCATCCCTCAGCTGCTTCAGTCTTTTCTCTTCATGTTTTAATATTATCTCTCCACTAAAATTTGGGAAAGTATGATGACACAGAGCAGTCACTTAGAATTCTGAAATCCTCCTGTGTAAGTATTGTCAGGGAGCCCTACTCAGGGACAAAGAATGTACTTGGAGTCTCTCTTCAATATCTTCCTTGACTACATCTGAAGTGAGCACTGGAGAATGTGCCTTCCTGGGGACTGGACTCCCACCCATTGAAAGATGGGCACCCAAGCATCTGTTTAAGTCTTGAAAGTCATTTTTAAAGTTTGACTCATGGTTTTTTGGTGGTAAAATTTTAAAGTGTAAATCTTATCTATGTAGGTAGGTAGGTAGGTAGGTATGTATGTATGTATGTAGGTATGTATATATGTATATAGCCAAGGCCTGTGTTTTCCAGCATGGTAGTCACAATCCACATCTGGCATTTGAGTCCTTCAAAGGTGGCTCGTGTAAATTGCAACGTAAGTATAAAATACACGTCAGATTTCAAAGACTTAATATGAAAATAAAGAATGTAAACTATCTCATGAATAATTTTTAATATTGATTACCCGTGGAAATATTTTTGATATATGGGGTTAAATGAAATGTATTAAAAATAATTTTAAGTTTTTAAAACTTCTTTAAATGTGACTACTAAAAATTTAAACTTACATGTATGGCTTACATTATCTTTCTATTGGACGGTGCTGGCCTTGGCAGAAAAAAAGGAAATGTACCAAAGTGCACACTGGTCCTCGGAGTTTCCACCCAGAGGTAACACATGTAACTTCTGCTCATATTTCCCTGTTCCAAACAAGTCACAGGAACATGCCTAACTTTTTTAGGGGAAAGAAAGTGTAATTGGACCATAGGTACTCAAGAGACTCAGAACAATTTAGTCTATAGCACTAAAGACAACCATAGATCCTTTTCTTAAACGTCATTACTGTCACATATGAGACAGACTCAATACTGAATGCCATTGAAGGCTGGAACCCCATCAATTTATCATTCCCAACCCTTGCCTTACTCTTTGCACATGCTGGCTGAATGCGGATTTTCCAAGAAGCTCTGAATCAGGAACTGACGTGAAGCAGACATTCCTAGAACAGGAAGAAGAAACACTTTAAAGAATCAGAGGCAGCCCTGCTTAAGAGCAGTGATACACATCAATACAGACCACCAAAGTAGAGATGCAAGAGGCAGAACATTTTGGTGAGGAGCAATCAGGGACGGAATAGTTATTGTTGAGCCCAAATGTCACAGAATACATAAGTAAGAATGCACAGCCACGGCGTGCAGGAATTTAAAGCAGTCATGAATCGAAAAGCCGTCTGCATGTGCGCATCATGTGTCATCAGAGGAACCGTGGCGGGGCGCGGGGCGGAGGGATGGGGGTGGTAGCTCAGCATAAAGACAGGCAGGAAGCTGGAGCTGGGAGAGTGAAGAACTGCAGAAATTGTGGGTCTGGGCTGCACCGCCGGTCTGCAGTCTGATAGGGAGTTAGAGGTGAGATGCACGTACAAATCAAGCACCAGGGCAAAGTTGTGAATCAGACCACCAATCTGAGCAGCACAACAATAATTGGTCATGGAAACTAGTGGGGTAGGAACCAGCTAGGAAGGTAAGAAACAGGTGGCCTCAAACTGCAGAGAAAGGCCAAGAAAGCAGCCTGGCACTACACCGGAAGGAAAGAGGCAGAGCAGAATGAACAGAAGCAGAGGTATAAAACACCGAAAGGAAACCTCAGTGCTGTGGGTAACTTGCAGCCACAACCAGGGCACTTCCTGTGTGCTGCTTTCTGGTTTGGGAATTAGTTCCCAGCTTAGTCTGGAGGCTATTGGTAGAAGGTAAGAGGGTGAATCTACCAGAAGTAAGTAGTATCACAGAGATATAAGAGAAGATCCTGACCATTTTACATAAAAAGAGATGATAATTACACAATGGGGTCTTTGAAGCTCACATACCACACAGAAAGATATGTGATGTCTTTACAGGTGCATGTTGGCCCATGACCCATTTTCAGTGGAGCATATTCTCAGCCAGAAGTGATCATGGTTGGCCCAGAGCCAGTCACATGGTCTTGTTTCATCCTTCCGTGTAAGCCGTGCTACGCACCGATACACTGACTGCCAGGGCAGAACAGAGCAGTCTGGAAGTGTGGTTCACCCTAAGGCTAGCAGTGGTGCAGCAAATTATCCCCCAAGACGTGGCCAGTGGGGCAGTCTCCTTTCTGAGAGCTTGTGTTGTCGTTGTTTGTTGGTTTAGTTGCTTGGCTGGGTGGTGATAGTAGTGTTGTTTGGGGTGTCTTCCTTCCTTTCTTTGCTCTTAGCATGAAGATCATTTGTCTACTTGTCTGCCTTGAGAGTGGGGAGAGGAAACTGATCTGGAAGAAGGAGAAGACAGAAGCATGGGGACAGGCTTAAGGACTAGGCATTCTGAGAAGATGGCCAGAGTTGGCTCACTTATTTAGAGGCCATTAGGCTCCTTAATGAGAGCACTGGATCTTGCTTACATAAGAAGCCTAAAGAAGGAAGGACTAGGATTGTGGAAAAGACTCGAAGGGAGGGACTGGGGCCCAGGGCCCTCTGCACAAGTATTTTCCTACCACACATTCTCCTGGCGACCTCATCTCTCCCACAGCTTTAAATACTACCCACAGGCAGACAACCCCCAAATCTCTGCCTCCAGATCAGACTCCACCCCTTCTGGGTTCCAGGTGCCTATTCTAGCTTCCCACCAGATATCCTCATTTGTCTGTCTCGCAAACAACTGAAACTTAATTCCAAAACTTGAGCAGATTCCCGCTCATCCTCACAAAAACATTCTCCCCTCAGTTTTCCACATGTTAGTTAAAGCCACCACAATGGGCCAGTCTGTCAAGTGAGACGTCTAAGAGTCAGACTTGCTTCCTCTTTTTTTTTCATTCTAGCTTCCCACCAGATATCCTCATTTGTCTGTCTCGCAAACAACTGAAACTTAATTCCAAAACTTGAGCAGATTCCCGCTCATCCTCACAAAAACATTCTCCCCTCAGTTTTCCGCATGTTAGTTAAAGCCACCACAATAGGCCAGTCTGTCAAGTGAGATGTCTAAGAGTCAGACTTGCTTCCTCTTTTTTTTCACTTCTCGCAGTGAATCTAACAGGAAGTCGTGCTGACTCAACTACCAAGTGGTTGGAGAAACCCTTCATTCCTCCCCAAGGCCACTGCACACAGCAGCAGCCTCCTTACTGGTTTCCTTGCTTTCTCTTCTGTCTCTTACGACCCATTCTCCATACACTTTGAAGTAAGAATGACCTTGGAATTGCAATGATTTTATTCTCCCACTTCGGTGGCTTCATTTTTCACATAGAATTACATCCAAGCTCTCTAAGGCCCTCCATCCTGCTACTGACGTTGCCTCAATTCTCATCTCGTACCATTCTCCCCGACCCTTACTCACAACCCATTAGCTGAATTTCTAAACATACCTCCCTCAGGGAGTTTTCATACGCTCTTCTTTCTAGTTGTAACACTCTCCTTTTCTTCAGCTGCTTGCATGATCACTGCCTTTTCATTCTTTTTGTCCTACCTTTTGTCACCGATTCAGAAAGGCCTTCCCCGAATGGTCGCCCTCCCTTAGTATTCTGTCTCTGCCTCTGGCTCATTTTGTTCAAAGGAAATTTCACAAATTATAATAATGTTTTAATTCAGTGTTTTGTGGCTTAAACCACTAGCACCTTTCCTGTGCCTTGCATATAGAAGATACGTTTTGCGGTTTTTTGTTCGATCCATGTATCTCACACATGAATTCTACTGTCATCATTGCCTGAAAGTCAACTGGTTGCCTGGAGTGCATCTGTCCAGTAGACTGAGGGTATGGCTGCTGCCAGAGTCACCAAGCAAATGTCCAGAAATTGTGCTGACTAAAGGGGTTAACATGTCAGAAAAAAACTTCCCATTATGTGAGTGCGAATATTTTTCAGTGTGTGCTTCAAGACCTCGCCCATCAGCCATTTACTCATCACGTGAGCAGGAGAAATCCATTGCATGTGCTTTAGACCTTGCCTGATACACACCTGATCTCTACATGAGGACGCTTCCCTGAAAACACAACAGGATGTGCATAAACTCTAGAGGTCTAAGTCATTACACTTCTCCAGTATCCAGATCCCATGCATCACACTGGAACAGAACTGAGAAGACCTGCCTTCTTAGAGGGGCACCGTAAAGGAAGGAGGAGGGTCCAAAGTGTCAAGTGAGGCTGAAGGGCAATGTGAGACAGTGTGCCATAGTGTGGAAGTAAAACCGTATTAGGAGGAGAGGCATAATTAATCAAGAGTTGGAGACAGGAACATAAGTCAAGTAGAAATGATAAACAGAAGCCAAACTGGTTGGGCTGGAAGGTTCCTCCTAGAGTTGCCTCTATACATCAGGGCAAGAGACCTGCTTTTGTCTCTCCAGTCTAGTGAGTGCTGGAAATTCCACCTGCTCTGCTCTACTTAAGGACTGTGTGCCTGACTGGCCATAAAATTCCCCTGTAGTTTTAAGAATTTAAGAAGTTGTATCAGATTGCTAGCAAAGCAATCAAACAGAAACACGGGTCAGGAGGGAAAGGGAAGAGGCAAGATGAGACAAGACTCGGTGTACCGTGGAATGGCTACTTGAGTATCAGGTGTGGAGTATCTGCCCTGAGGGCCAGTAACTCAATCCTTGGCTCTCTGATGATTAGTTTAAGCTCATTCCACAACTCTGTAGTGGAAAGATACAGAGATCATAAGGTTCTAGGAAACTCTGCTGTTGTATCACATCAGGCACCCCAGGTTTTTATAGCAATGCCCAGGAGGCTGGGATTTATAGAGAAAGAGAACCATATTAATTTGTCCACTTTCAGTTTAAGGTACAGAGAGGCAAAAATACAATTTATTCACTCAGAAGACTGAAAGTTTTGAGGGTAGAAAACTTCAGGCATGAATGAATTTAGTAGCTCAAATCTTCTCATTAAAAGTCAGCCTCTTTCTCCTTTGGGTCTGGCTTCATTCTCAGGCTTCAGGTTCACTTCCTTTCTCTTTCTAACAGAAGCAACAGCTTTTGTTTTCCAGCAATTCTAAAAAAATAGCTCAGAATTAGCTCTATTTGGGCTGAATTACTCGTATGCCTAACTCTAAACCAATCACTATGACTAGGAGTACAGAATACACTGGTTGGCCAAGACCTGAATGGTATAGGAAGGAAGTTTAGCTCCATCTGAACCACATGGACTAAGGGTAAGAGGAAAGTAATTTCCCAAAGAAAAATGAAAATATTGCTTACCGTAGTCATCATAAGGCGGAATAGAGGCTGGAAGAGCAAACACAAGATCACAGTGGGACCAAGATGAACCAGGATAGATGTGAGTACATAGAGCTAAAGTAGAAATATAATCAAGAGAGTCATGGTACTGAGCTGAGTGAAACTGGAATGTGAATTAAATGAAAGAGGAAGGGTCATGGTCTAATAAGCAGAAGA